TTCTTGCTTTAAGGTATTTTTAAGGTGCTGAAGGTCACATTGCATAGTGAAAAAAGTTGAAGGATCTTATCACTTTGTGGTCTTTAATAGTGTACACATACACCATTTCTAGAAGCCCCAAGGCGAGTCCTGATCTCTGTGATTGCTTGTCTCACCAGGGACCACACTGCGCTTCTGACATTATTTCTTAAGCCTGTTCATTGACTCGCCTCAGCAAAATCTCCAACGATTCCATCTGTATTTTGTCTGCATTCGTGTTGCTGTCTAATCAAGCTGGATAACTTTTGGTGGAAGGACATGTCTGTCTAATTCCATTTGCATTTAACAGATTTTTTTAAACTTCAAAATGTAGCTAGATGGATGGTTCTTTGCTTTTGGTGGCTTTAATTTTGTGTAGTTTAATGATGGGTACAGTGATGATTTAGAAATAACCTTTTAAGTTTTCCAGAACTTTTGGCTAGTTTGCATGCTCAACTGTTTATTGTTATTTATTGTTATAATTGGAAAGAACACAGGAAGAGAATCAAAGATGTGAATTCTGGCTTTGCATTCATCAACCAACCTTCTTTAACAGGAGGACCCCCCTCCCCCCCCAGATGGCTTCATTTCTTTGTCTTTTCAAATGAAGATAAGAGGGGTTTGGAGACATGGCTCAGTTAGTAGAGCACTACCAAAAAGCAAAAGCATCGGGTACTAAGTTTGAGTCTTGGTCTTGTACCAAGAGAAAAAAAGGAAAGAAAAGAAATAAAGTGAGGAAGAGAGTTCATTGCCCCGTTTGCAGGTTAGTGGGGGACATGAATGAGGATGCTCGAAAGACTCACGTCCATCCATTCAGCTCATTGTACACCAGGTCCAGGCCGGTGTGGGGTGAGGCTTAGCAGCACAGGCCTTGGCCTGGCCGCCTGGTCTCATGCTCCAGTGTGGCCTCGGTCATAGCACCCGTGGACTCTGTGTCTTGGTGCTCTCCTTGGACAGCAGCTCAATGGAGAGTCTTTAGACTTGCACGGCTTCTAGCACGTACCACACGTGACCTGTACGAGTGATCGCATTCATTCCCAGCCAGACCGGGCCACTGTGCCAGCCAGTTTAGTGGGTCACACAGACGAAGAGAGGAGCAGATCCTGTCCTCAGGACCCAACGGGAAGAGTGGACGTGACAAGGTGTGAGTATGAGGCATGATCCAGATGCTGGCGGAGGCAGGGAGGAGAGAAGCTCATTGGTAGCCTGGAGGGCTATCAATGGCAAATCCACAAAGAGAGGAAGAGGGAGAGACAGGCAGAGAAAGAGAGAAAGAGAGATAAAGAGAGGGACGAGGGACACAGGAACCAAGGGCAGGACCATTTGCAAATCCGCAAATCCATGCGGCATCTCAGTGTAGGGACTTGTCTGACCACCGCTAAGGTGCATTTCGTATATGGTGATTGCTGTCACGTCAGATCCCAACGCAGCCTCTGGCCGTGTGAAAGCATCCTCGCTGACTGGCTGAAGGGTCTCGGAGCTGGACCGGGCGTGCTGTCATGAGCCCTGATTCCATGGGGCTCCGGTGTCCTTAGAGCCACACGGGCCTCTGAGCCGCGGGGTCTCCTTGCGGAGGAGGAAATGCCCACGAGCTCCCCAGCCATGAGTGCTTTCTCCTCCCCATAGATCAAGGAGGAAATCGAGCACAGGTGACCAGCTCCAGCTGGAGTCACCCCGAGTGCCCGTGACCGCCGCAGCAGTCACATGCTGCTCACATTCCCAGACAGCCTTTACGGAAGCCGCTGGGGGAAAGTTGGGGGTCTCCGGGGTCCTCGGTGGTTCTGAAGAATGCAAAGGGTGCCCAGACAGCTGCAAATAGCAGCCCAAACCTGTGAGAAATACAATCTAGTCTCCAACTGAGACCTGAGAGCTCCCAGAGTTCAGCCATTTGCCCGAGGTGTCTCCGGAGCTGGAGGCCAGGGGGGAGCCCAGTCTTCAGTCCTTGGTCCTGTGTTCTTTCTGTTGTACTGGGCAGCTGCGGTTTCTTGTCATTTGAATGTATCAATGCATATGTATTTCACAAAGGCTGTGTCTTGGCTGGGGCTGAACTCCCAGGTTATTGTTTATATTATTTATATTAACAAAAATAACATTCTTTTCAAATGTATGAACGCCAACAGAGGCAAAGGGATTCTTCTCTTTTTAAAAATTATATTTGTAGTATCTTTAAGTGGCTGTAAAATCACTAAGTACAGTACATTTTGAGTAATGTCACCTCTTTCATTTTCCATTCCTCCCAATCCCACTCCTCCTTTCAAGCCTGTCCTGGGGCTTGAACTCAGGGCCTGGACACTATCCCCGAATCCCTTTTTACTCAAGGCTAGTGCTCTACCCCTTGAGCCATAGCACCACTTCTGTCTTTTTTGAGTAGTTTATTGGTGATAAGAGTCTCATGGGCTTTCCTGTCCAGGCTGGCTTTGAACTGTGATCCTCAGCTCTCAGCCTCCTGAGTGGCATGAGCCACCAGCACCTAGCTGCAAGAGGATTCTTAACAAAAACAATAATTTATCTTGGTCAACAATTTGAATACCTCATTTGGGTTAGTCATTGATGCTAGTGACCTTGACCTTTTGCTTTAAATTTTGATTGAACTTGGAACTAGAAATATGTTCAGAAAAATTTAAAAAATCTTATGTTTTAAATTTGTGATATTCCCTCCCCCTCCAATAAAGAAAATAAATCTGACGGATGGAAATTACAGGAGGGGTTTGTTTCCCACAAGGCCCCAGGGTATCTCCTCCTCCCCTTGAAAAGAACATAGATTCTTTCCCTTTTCACTTTTGCTGCCAGGACAATCCAAGACAATTTTGAGGGCATATGCATCCACCATCGCCTTCTCCTATAATTATCTCCCCATGAGTCTGCATATATCCTCATTTTCTCTGGAATTTTCTATTTCCTGGTGAGCAAACTCACCTTTCCCCAAGAACCTGGCAGGTTAAAAAAAAAGAAAAAGAAAAAACACAGATCAAAACCTGAGCTGAGGCGTCCTGGGACAGACACAGCCTTTTGGGGGGCGGGGGGGGAGGGGCTTGGGAAGAATGTGATTTGAAGCAAAAATTGGTGGAAAAATGGTGGAGAAAAGCTGACTGGGAGCGGTGCTGCCACGCCTCGCTGTCTCTCTTGTCTCTCTCTCTCTCCCTCAGTCATGGGAACCTTGAGCATCCCTGGCGATGACCTTGAGGTCACCGAGGATGAGCCCTGTAATGTCACCTGCCGAGCCCAGGGCTGGACCCCGCTCCCGGACATTACTTGGAGGGTTGGCGTCCCTGCCAGCCATTCCAGCTACTCCTCGTTCGCGGAGCCGGGGGCTGGTGGCGGTGTGGTGAGCGTCCTGGCGCTCCGGCCGCAGGGCAACGGGACGCTGACTTGCGTGGCTGCACTGAGGGCTCCGGAGGCCCGCACGGCCGTCACCGTGAACCTCACGGTGGTCCCGCCGTCCCCTGGTAAGTGAAGGCCGGCTGCTGGCCGCACGCGGGTCACGGCCTCGAACTCGGCTTGCTCTGCGTCGGCCTGAGAAAGTCCTGCATGACGTGGGGACCACAGGGCACTGTGGCCTCGCCCACCCTTCCACCCGGAAGAGCTGCCTTTCCCCAGTTCCTCCATAGCGACCCCTCGGAAGCCTCGGTCATCAGGGCCACCAGGCTGCAGCCAAGTTCAGAGACAGACAGAGGGCTCATTTTAAACCTCTCTTTTCCTACCGTGAAGAAGCCAGTCCTAAAACATCGGGGAGGTGTTCAGGTCCCCTTGGTTTCCCCGGTTGTGAAGGCTTCCCATGCTTTGCTTTCCTCAGCAGTTGAAAGTACCAAGCCTGGTATGTCGTGTATGTGATCAAGTGGTAGAACTGGAAGGTTTAGATCCTTCAGAGGGATCTACTGCCAAGCCTCAGCCCAGAAGAGCTCGGACTGCAGTGCTCCCAGCAGCCTGTGCGCTTGGAGTCAGGGTCGGTGGGGCCTGCGGGGGGGTGTCATCAGGGGCTGGATGTCTTCTCTTCCTCCCCTCCCCTCTCCTCCCCTCCCCTCTCCTCCCCTCCCCTCTCCTCCCCTCCCCTCTCCTCCCCTCCCCTCTCCTCCCCTCCCCTCTCCTCTTCTCCCCTCTCCTCCCCTCCTCTCTCCTCCTCTCCCCTCTCCCCTCTCCCCTCTCCCCTCTCCTCCCCTCCCCTCTCCTCCCCTCCCCTCTCCTCCCCTCCCCTCTCCTCCTCTCCCCTCTCCTCCCCTCCCCTCTCCTTCTCTCCCCTCTCCCCTCTCCTCCTCTCCCCTCTCCTCCCCTCCCCTCCCCTCTCCTCCCCTCCCCTCTCCTCCCCTCCCCTCTCCTCCTCTCCTCTCTCCTCCCCTCCCCTCTCCTCCCCTCCCCTCTCCTCCCCTCCCCTCTCCTCCCCTCCCCTCTCCTCCCCTCCCCTCTCCTCCCCTCCCCTCTCCTCCCCTCCCCTCTCCTTCTCTCCCCTCTCCCCTCTCCTCCTCTCCCCTCTCCTCCCCTCCCCTCCCCTCTCCTCCCCTCCCCTCTCCTCCCCTCCCCTCTCCTCCTCTCCCCTCTCCTCCTCTCCCCTCTCCTCCCCTCCCCTCTCCTCCCCTCCCCTCTCCTCTTCTCCCCTCTCTTCTCCTCTCCTTCTTTCCCTTCCTTTTCCTTCTCTTCCTTTCCCCCCTTTCCCTTTCCTCTTCTCCTCCTCTCTCGCCTCTCCCCTACTTTCTGTTTTTTGGAGCTGGAGATGTATGCAAAGCCTCACGTAAGCTAGGCAAGTGAGGTACCTCTGCCACATCCCAGGAGATGTCCCTGTTATTTATTTACTTACTTGTTTGTTTTTTGGGCTAGTCTTGGGGCTTGAATCTAGAGCCTGGGTGCTGTTCCTGAGCCTTTACACTCAAGGCTAGCACTCTACTACTCGAGCCATAGCTCTACTTCTGGTGTTTTTGGGTGGTTCATTGGAGATAAGGGCTCATGGACTTTCCTACCTAGGCTGGTTTTGAACCTTGATCCTCAGATCTCTGCTTCTTGATTAGCTAAGACTATAGGCATGAGTCACTGGTACCTGGCTAGAAATGTACCTTTATCTCTTAGGAGAGAGTAAGGAAAGGGAGTTTCTGCATGAGTCATATTTTAATCAAGGTTGCATAGCTAAACCAGCAGAGCAGGGCTTAGAAGCTAAGAATAGCTTTTCTCTTGGTCCACCCTGAAAATACCATGACTTAAAGTCTTTCAAAGTTCAGAACAAAGTTTATGGTCAAAGTAAAGAGTACTACTACTACAAACAACAACAATGAATAACAACAAACAGTACTCTATAGCGTGTACAAAGTACTATGCTAAATCCTCCTTGAATGTTCACCATATGCACCTCAGCCCTGCTGTGGGTCTCTGCTGTGAGTCTGGGTGAAGGAGGGCATGGTCTGGGGGTCTGCCCAGGTCTGTGGGACAGGCCCCTGCGGGGCCAGCCCTGGCAGACTGTCACCAGGACCTGCCCCCATCCCTGCCACCCACCGTGTGTGAGCAGTATGAGTCTCCTGTGGCTGCTGTGACAAATAGCACAGGCTGAGGAGCTTCAACTAGAGACGGGCCTCCTTGTGTTGGAGCTGGAGCTCGGGGTGGCAGGGGGCAGCTCCCGGGGGCCCTGCCTCTCCCCTGGTTCCTTGAGGTCGTGTAGAGAAGCAGCGTGTGCAGATGCCGAGGTTCCCTGGGGCACTCAGGTCCCAGGACGCTCAGGGGTAGCTGTGGTAATGTCAGCCCTTTCCAGATAGAGGCCTGTGGGCCCAGGCTTCTGTAGGTCAAGGATAATTTATTCCTGCCCATTTTATTTAAGGGAATTTAGTTTAATCCGGCCCAGACTGCACACAAAGACCAAGTGAGAATCTTGCTTCTCTTTCTCCTGTTTGTTTTGGGCATCTCTGCCCTCCCTCTCTCCCTCCCTCCCTTTTCCTTTTAGCCTGCTTTGGTTCCGTCCATGTTAACCATTCCTGTCATGATTCAGTTCCATGCTCAGCCAGACCAGCTTTGTCCGTGGGAGTCCCTGCTGGCTGGCTCAGGGATCCCTTTGACATTTTCCTATCAGTCATTAAACACTGGGCCTACTAGAATGTTCCAGCTTCATTTTACCCTCCCCTATCCTACCCTGGCGTCAGCCCTCCAAGGCACCAACCCCTCTTTGTCTTTAAGCTACTTAACTATGATAGAAGTTGGGTGGAGGCTTTGAAAGGGAAGATTGAAAAAAAAAGTTCCATTAGCCCTAAATGGACTAAAATTGACTGTTGACAGCACCATTTAACAAGGTAACAGCTCAGCCCTGCAACAGCTGGATCGAAATGGGGTTGAGAGATCGGCTTGCCCACAAATTTCTTCTCCCGTAGGGGAAGGGCAAGGGGAGGGACCTTTAATTTCCCCAGATCAGGATCAGCGCGGTGGCGTTCTTCGTAGACTAGGACCAGAGCCTTAATTATGGCAGCTGGAGGCTGGGAAGGAAGGCTGTACGGGTGGGCAGGCTGCAGTGAGTCTTGCTTTATTGGACTCATTTGGAAAAGGGTAATTCTTGTCTAAATTATTCATCAAGACCCAGAGCAGCGGGCGGCTGGCCACATGTTGCGTGTTTTATCCAAGTTGTATTAGCTGCAGACTTCAGCGCGGGCCTGGCTGGCAGAGCTGGCTGCCGAGCCAGTAGGGGACCAGCCAAGATCCTGGAAAGCTGCCAGTGGTCCAGGGTTTGTTAGGGATGGGGTGGGGCTCTGTCCGGCCATCTTTCTGGCCTGGGAGTGCAAGGAAGGAGCGCTTTCCTTTCTGGAAGGAAAGAAGAAAGAGATGGCGGTGTAGGAAGGCCCCTAGGGTTGGGAGGATGTTACAGCCAGAAAGTCTGCTTTGGTTTCTAGATCCACAGGCTCCTTTGGAGAAAAGCGTATTAGGAGATTTCAGAGCTGTGCTTTAAAAGATGGATTTTCCCCCCCGTTGCATAATTCATGCCAAGGTAGAGCACCACAGGCAGCCATGGAGCTGGGGGCTGGCGGCGCCATCCTAGACCCAGCTTGCTGTCCTGGCCCTCGGGGGCGGCCGGTGACCCCTGGGGTCCCTGGGACGCTGGCATGGGTGTGGGCTGTGTAATGGGAGGCAGATGCACTGTGGGGACCCACAGGCTCCTTGTGGGGTGTTGTGATTGCGGAGTGGAATGTGTTTGTGGGAAGTGGCAATTTCGGGGGTGGGGTGGGGGAAGGGTGGCCCGCTGACCTCACAGAGCACGGGGCTCTACGCTCCTGCCACTCCTGGGGGCCCAGGGTTCTTCCTGGAAAAGGGTGGGAGGAGAACAGAGCAGTTCTCTCCCAGCCTGGTCAGAGTCACCATCGGTGTCCAAACGCATGCCTTACACCAAGCGACATTTCCACGGTGTTCTACACATATGCAGACATAGACACATTTATACTATATGCTGTATGGAATGGGGCCATATATATGTCTGATGTATGTGTATAACTGAGTATGCACATTTGTTTACATGCACACGCTTATATACAGACCTATGTTTGTGCATACCACCACACACATGCCTACACACACCACATGCACACACATGTACATACATGGGATACATAATCCATTAAAATTGCTACCAAAATTACACGTACTTACTCCTGAAGCTCTAGCACTACTAACTCGAGCCGCCTCATACACTAACACTCTGGGCCCCACGGTGTTGGAGGGGATGTGTGAGCGGAAGTCTCCCCTAGGTGTGAGACTCTGGGGAAAACAGACTTCCGACAGAGCAGAGGAAGGAGCCACGTGGCCCACAAAGGCTTTGTGGTCGTCGGCGTTTGGCGACTGCTGTGGGAGGGAAGGGGGCACCTGTGGGTGGCTCCGCTGAACTGCTGGCTGAACTGAGAGCAAGAGAGCGGAGGAGGCCGGCGCGAGACGCCCTCCCCCCCAGACTCAGTCCGGAGCCACAACGCCGTGGCCTCGCTTCCTGCCCGACGCTCCCACAGGGACACAGGGGTCTCTGTGGGCTGGAGGAAAGGTGGTCAGGTCCAGATCGGGTGGGGCACAGACTGCAGACATCATATTTATCTCCAGCAGGGAAGGGAGGGGCCAGTAAGTCAACACACATGTGGTCTCCCACCTGCCCCTTATCATGGCCCTGTCAGTATTTACACACGCTAGCTTGTGAGCGTCTGCCTAACTGGGTTTTCAGTGACCACTGCACCCTCCACCCTCCTCAGCTGGTTCAGCTGGCAAAGCAGGAATGCTTCACCAGGTGAGCCAGCGAAGGCTAAAGATAACACAGCGAGTAAACAGTGGCCGAGAGATTGGCCGGTTCCACCATGGCCAGCCCAACACCCGGGCAGTCAGAGGCTCCTTCCAGCTGCAAGCCTTCGGTGGGGAACACGGTCGGCGCCATTCTGCCCCAGCGTGGAGAGGAACGTAGAGCGTCCTGTGATGTGTGGGCTGCCCAGGCAGCATTCCTACTTTGGCCACACACGGGGATTGGCCAAGTGTGGGCTGTCTTCCTCCTGAATCCGAATCTCTGGGGTGCCACTTGAGACCCATGCCGGCATTGCTGGGGGTGGCCTTGAGCCGCACGTAGGAGGGCCTTCCAGACGGTTCTTGGGTTCTGCTGTCTGTCAAGTAAGGGAAAAGGCCCACGGGGCACTGGTGTGCCCAGATTCGCGGTGCCAGTCAGTGATCCGGCTCAGACCGGAGAGGTGTGGCGTGGGAAGAGGATCAGTTTGCTCCTTTTTCCTTGTCTCTGCCCCAGCCCATCTCTGGGAGTCAGTGGGGAAGAGGAAATAGAGGGTGTAAGGAAAATACTTTGGCCTTTCTATAATCCCACAATTCTTCTCTGGATGCCTTGATATGGGGACAATATGATTCTCTGAGCTACAGCTGACTACGTTGCTCATAGATTTTTCTATGGAAAGTCAGAAGGGAACTCAGCCTCATAATCAGTCCATCCGTCCCTCCATCCCTTCTCCATCGCTCCTTTCCTTCTCCCCATCCATCCATCCATCCATTTACCCATCCACACACCAATCCATCTATCCACCATCCATCCATCTTTCCCTAACTCCAACCTTCCTCCCTCCCTTCCTCTCTCTCTCCATCCATCCATCCACCCAATCCATCCACCCATCCATCCACCCACTCATCTACTCAATCTACCCATCCAGCTACCCACCCACCCATCCACCCAACCATGCATCCATCCATCCATCCACCCACCCAACCATGTGTCCATCTGTACCTCCCTCCCTCCCCCTTTCCCTCCCTCCCTCCTTCCCCCCACCCGACCATCTGTCCATCTGTTCATTCATCTGTCCATCCATCCATGCCTTTCTCCAAACACCCTACCTTCTCATTCCTTCCTTCCCTCCCTCCCTCCATCCATCTACCAATGAGTGATATTCTCCAGATGCTTGGGACATAAGGGAAAAAATGAGACATAGTCCTTGAACTTGAAGGAGCTAAGTCCAACTTAGACAGTAGAAAATATAAGAAGAAATGGAAGCAACAGCCATGGATTGCCTATTCATTCACGATAACAATGTACATGAGGCATTAAGAAAAGAAACTTGTCAAAATGATTTAGCGTTTATTAATTTCTTGGTGAGAAGTTCAAAGAAATCCTTTCAGGTAAGCAGAGTAGCTCTCATAAAAGGGACAAAGACAAATGATCTTTAAAATGTTATGTAATTTTCCCAAGCACAGAGTTCCTTGGGTTTCAGCACGTGTTTTCAGATGAGCCGGTGGGTTATTCCCACCGGTAGCTGGGCCTCGGCTTCCCGACACGTCATCCAGGCAGGGGTGGGGTGGGTGGGGGTGGTGGTGGCTGAGACACTGGTCTTGACCATGTAATATGGACACAGGGTTAACAAACCACAGCTTTCAAAACTCTAGATTCTGGCTCCAAAATACTGATGGCCAGGGGTTCCAGGGCAGCCCCATGTCCCTTCTGAGGAAGCCTGTTAACATTTTGTAAGGACCCACACGGAGGGCACTTTCATTGAGATGCCACCTAAACACTCAGGGTGGAAAGACTACGGTTAAGTAGTGGTTCACAATTAAGCACAACTTAAGGGCGGTTTGGCCTCTGTGTGGTGAAATGCCAGGGAAGGGCTCTCTTGGGAATACTGTGTCCTGCCTACAAGCCCGTGATTCGGGAAGCACTCCATGTCTGTGGCGGCTGAGCACTTGAGGTCAGCAGCCCAGGCACTGAATATTCAATTACACATAATTTAAATTTAAAAATTGAGTTAGAGAGCCGAGCGCTGGTGGCTCACGCCTGTCATCCTAGCTGCTTAGGAGGCTGAGATCTGAGGATTGAGGTACAAAGCCAGCCCGGGCAGGAAAGTCCATGAGACTCTTCAATGAACCACCAGAAAACCAGATGTGGTGCTGTGGCTCAAGTGGTAGAGCGCTCACCTTGAGCTGAAGAGCTGAGGGACAGTGTCCAGGCCCAGAGTTCAAGACCCGAGTTAGATAACCACATAAAATGATATTACCCAGATCTAAGATTTGGTTATAACAACCCCCACTCCAGGTGGGTTTTCTTCTCTTTTTCCTTCCCTCCTTATCTCTCTTTAACTTCCTTGCTTGCTGGACCTGCCCTCCCCTTTTATCTTCTCCTCTCCCGACTATGGTCTCAAGAAGCAGGGAAGGCGGATGGTAAAGAGGATAGCTCAGGAGAGTCCAGAGAAAGCCACCCACGGGTGGTAGAGCGTTGCGGGGGTTTGGGAGGCTTCGGTGAAAGTTGTGCACCCCAGGTCCTCTGGAAGTGACCCTTTCTCAGTGCGCCCTGATTTCCTTTGCACTGTGGAACTGCAAATGGTGGAGAAGACAGAGGCGATGTTATTCCCCATTCTTGTCCATAAGACAATCCCTACGCCAAGCCCAGGCTGTTGGCTTCTTGGCCCAGCCTGATCTGCCTCCCAGGAAAGTGAGAGGCATTAACCAAATAAAGCGTGGGCTGGTTGACTGGCTTGGCAGCTCTCTCTTGGTCGTGACAAATACGGTCATTCCAGATACTGAGTAATTACACACCAACAGGAAGCTGGCTGGGACCCCTCAGGAGAGGAGTTCCAATATCACTGGTAACCATAATGTGGTCTAGAATGAGGCAGACAGAATGCGTGATCTGGAATGGTGCAGACATCACTAATGCATGTTCTCTCTTCGACCTCATAGACGCTGTTGATAAGCCAGGAGCCGCACTGCCCACCTGGGCCATAGCTCTGCTGGCAGTCTCTCTGTCCCTGCTTTTGATCCTGATAATTGTTCTGATTATAATATTCTGCTGCTGCTGCGTGTCTGGAAAAGACAAAAAAGGTAATTTTTTCACCATAGAAATTTAAATGTAGTTTTGAACTTTTGGAATAGGTAGTTGAAATGAATGGGCTCACCAGTTCTTTCAAAGGACAGGTAAGCCTATGAGAGATGAAGCCTTTCCTCCTGTGCCTTTGATCCTAGCTAGGTCTGGTATTGTGTGCCTTTAATCTCAGGTCTTGGGAGGCCGAGGCAGGAGCACTGCAAGTTTCAGGACAACCTGGGCTATAGAATAATGGTGTATGGGGGGGGGGGGAGAGAGGCCTGTGGTTAATAACAGCAGTAGTATTAAGTTCCTTAGCATGAATGCGCATTTCTCTTCTTTGAAAGAGAGCGCTGAGCTACGTGGAATTGTGGGTGCCATGGCCTGGTCATGAGGGAGTTAGGCAGCTGTAATTATTGAGCCTCAGACGCTTTGTCATGGGATGGCCTAGAACTTTCTAAGATCTGAAAGTGTGTCCGTCCTCATCATCCTTTCTTTCATTTTCTCCTCATTGGATAGTTTCCTCAGCCCAGTTGTTTTTCTTGAGATGCGATGATGGGGAGCCTGTGGGTGGCCTTGTGGTTGTCACTGTTGTGGCCTTCGCTGCCATCCGAGGGCACCGATGGCGCATACCGGGCACCGCACCGTGGTACACGGACACTGCTTACTGGACAGTGCATGTGAACGGCGTGGGCCAGCCTGAGCTGGGCTGTGGGTGGGCCCTGACTCCTCCATAGGCTGTGTTTGTGCGTGGGAGATTCACTCTGTGGTCCAAGTTTATTCCTTGAGAAGCAGAAGTGGCTCACGCCTGTCATCCTAGCTACTCAGGAGGCTGAGATCTGAGGATCGCGGTTCACAGCCAGCCATGGCAGGATAGTCCGTGAGACTCTTGGCCTCAATTAACCAGCAGAAAACTGGAAGTAGTGCTGTGGCTCAAGTGGTAGAGCGCTAGTCATGAGCAGAAGAAGCTCAAGCCCAGGTCCTGTGTCCAAACCCCAAGACTGGCAAAAAAAAAAAAAAAAAAAGTTGAAAAGCAGTAAACTCGTATTGACATAGATGAGGTGGGAGTTTGCTTCTGTCCCGCGGTGATCTCACTCGATGGCCGGCTCTGGGGAAGCACCGTGGATTTTCTCCAGGTTGTGGAGACAGCTTCAGTTTTCATCGAGAGGTGATGGCACACTGTCCAGCGCCGTCCCTGGGGTCTGTGACCTCGTCTCCTGTGGAATAGTGGGATTCCTGGCCCCTTGGACTTTCTGCTCCCCTGGGCCTTGTCTGCCCCGGCAGGTCACAAAGCCTTGATGAATGTCTCTGTGGGCCCACACATGCCATGCGGAGGGCGCCTGTCCATTCCCTCAGCAGTTCTCACCCTGTGGATGAGCCGTCATCTTACAGACTGACTATGAGGATCAAGCATCTTCACGCTCCTGTGATCCCTCCTGGGCTTGCCCCTTTGTGTGGCTTTGCGGTGAGATGTTGGCTGGAGGGACAGCCGGCCCCTCCCTCTTCTCCATAGCCAGTCCAGGGCTGTGGCCAGGGTCTGCCGTGACTCACTTACAGTGCTCCCGTTCCACCGCCAGCCGTGGCTCAGTGGAAATGACATGATAACTTAGCAAAATGCAAGAACTGAAGTGCTGCTGGATTTGCTAGGGAGAGTACATCCACGCTTCAACTTAGTAAACATCTTTTGTCCAAAACGTAGTTCCCGGTGTCCTGCTCATACCTGGAGAACCTCAGTGAGCCTCTGGCTAATGGAGGAACGGTTCCCACCTAGCCGGGCTTGGGGGCCTTCGTGTGTAGAGCGGGGGACCCGAGGCCAGCCCCCCAGCCCTGCTTTTGTGGGGTGTCGGTAGCTTTCCTGCATCCCTGTGGGTGCCCGATGGAGGGGCGCCTAACTTCCCTGAAATTAAACCAAAATCAGCTACAAGGTTGAGGTGTGAGCAGGAAGACATTATTCGAACTGGGATCTAGTGAGGACATTATCTAGAGATAAGGAAAATGGGTGTCTTGTTGGTCTTTGGGAGTTCTGGGTAAGGAAGTGAGCAGTTATGGAACACACAAATGCTGGGGTTTTTACATCTTCACATTCAAGATTCTTTCTGGTCCGGAAAGCCATTGATTAGAAATAGTAATCACAGCTTTTTCTGCGTGTGTGCCATGCCGTATGAATTGCTACTATTTAGTGAAAATGTATCTTAGAATTAAGGAAATAGGGTAATACTAACCTAATGGTGGCCATCCTGTTAAAATATGATGACATTCATTAACTAAAGTGTTTGTACAGTTCTGGTGTGAGGCACATAGTAAATAATAAATAGCAGCTGTCATTAGTAAAACAGTCCATCTTGGTGATGAGCTGTTGATTATCTTGCTAATCAAATCCAGTATTCATTCACTAGGTGTACACTGGCTACCTATACTATTTCAATTACTCAGATTATTCCCTTTTGCTAGATAACAGTGAATCCTATTTTACTTATGCTTAGGAGCCAGTTGACACTCTGGTATGGGGTCACGTAATATCTATTTGTTCAAACTGCTAATATAAGGCCCATTAAAAATCAATGATGAATTCTTTTTTGAATGAATAATCTTATTTTTCTAATTGCCTTTTCTTCTTCTTTCCTCCATCTAGAATCTAGTTATCAAAATGAAATAAGGTAAGTTTGCAACCACATTTGTCTTTTTGGTCAAACATAACCAACCAACACACACCCACACCTAACTGTGGCGTTTTAAGGATTATGCTTCTCAAAACTGAGTACTGAAAATAGACGAGACTAAAAAAAAAAAAAAGCCCCAACAAAAACCATATGCCAACCACAAACTCACAGGCAACACTGATTAATATATTCAGCACAAGTGGGTGGAGCTGCCTACCTCTGACTTGCTCTGGCTCACGGGGAGGCGGAGTCTCCTAGTGCCTGCCATGTGCAACTCTCTCCACATGAGGGTGCTGTGCACCACGGCTCTTGTCCCTACCCCTGGGTCCCGGCTGAGGCTACCAGCAGGGGGCCTGCTGGGATTTCTGGGGCAGTGGGGAGCAGGCCAGGCTGGATGCACTGCTCAGGCAGGCACACTGGGCAATGTTCACTGACTGGTCCATCCACCTGGGGGAGGGGGGGGTCTGAGCCCTGGGTTCCCGCTGCCCAGCTGTAGCTGAAAGCACTCTTAAGGTGATGGAGCTCAGGACAGGCAGCAGGACATGACAGACAGCGTGACCCTCGGCAGACGCTTGGAGGGGGGCTTCTCAGGAGGCGCTGGTTCAGCCGGGACGTCCTCACAGCCACGCGAGGTATTTATTAGATAATCCAACATGCTCTCGACAGTAGAGTAGGTGGATGTGGGCAATCACCGAGGGTCAGGGGCTACGTATGCAGCTCCCCCTGCCCGACAAATAACGGGGCTCTCAGAGTGGGGGTTGGTCTCGGAATCCCACCCTGGAGGTCTGAAAACTTGTGCCTCCGACTGGGCGGGGGAAGAGGCGGGAAAGAGGCCCAGCCGCTCTGTCCTGCTGTGTTTCTCCTGGTGGCCAGCTAGGACTCGGCTCAGCACTGCCCACTGCCCCAGTGCCTTCTGTTTCTGTTCTTGGAGGATCGTTGGGGATTTCAGAACATAGTGGAGCCATCAAGGTCCGTGGGATATGGGGTGGGGAACCCACAGCCATAAGAGAACCTCGAGGTGGCTATGATAGCAGCTAACGCAGGTGTCACACACATGTGCACACGCATGCGCACGCGTACACGCAGAGATAGGGAGGCTAAGCAATTCTCCTGGACCTGGGGAAAGGTGGACCGTGGGCTCCGTCTGTGTGTGCTCTCCCTGCCCCGTTGGTCCTGGCCCAGATGAGGCAGGCGGCTCATTGCTGACCACATCTACCTGCTTGTTCCTACCAGTGTGTCCACATCGTTCAGTCCAGGTTCTCGCAGACATCTTTCGTATTAAAATGACCCTACCTAGTTAAAAAAATAGAATCGGTGCACATTTATTGCCTAAAAATTAAATGCAATAGATACTAGAAATAATGCCAGTGGCTCACGCCTGTCATCCTAGCTACTCGGGAGGCTGAGATCCGAGGATCACAGTTCAGGGTCAGCCTGAGCAGGAAAGTCCCTGAAACTCTTATCTCCTGTTAACCAGCAAGAAGCTGGGCTGGAAACATGGCTCATGGGGTAGAGTGCTAGCCTACAGTAAAGAAATAGCAGCAAGTTCACCCCCAGTCTACTATCTAGAGGTGACCATTGCCAGCAGAGTATGAGTGTGTTTGCGCATGCGTGTTCACATGTGCACGGCTGTGCAGACATGGGTATTTAGTAAAATATGGACCACAGTAAGCGTGGCTTGCTTTTTTCACTAGACACTATTCTGCAGAGTATATCTGCTAATAAATGCTTGTCTCTAACATTTTTCCTTTGTTTGTCTGATAGAGCTTTTGGAGGAAGTGTAGCACAGAGAGAGCATGCATCTTAGGAGTACCTCAGCTCAGGTAGTGGGGTCTTGACCACTGAAATTCACCCTCAGCACCCCGCAGATTCCTCACAGACCCATGGCACGAGAGCTCGTCCAGGTGATAGCCCCCTCCCCACACCCAGAGATGTGACTCACAGGTTATTGGAGCTAGAATATATCACAGGTGCTCATTTAAGTCTTCCTGAGCCACAAACAGATCTAGGCGTTTTATGCTCATGTGATACCACATCCTGGGCAAATTTGTTTTCTCCTTTGCCTTAAATGGGCTTGGAGTAATAATAGAAGCAGTGGTAGTAGTAATAATAATAATATAATACTTTTTGCCACACTGGGATTTGAACTCAGAGTCTTATGTTTGCTAGGCAGCTGCTCTACCATTTGACCCACATCTCCAGCCCTTTTGGCTTTAGTTTGTTTATGCTTTTTGATCAGGGCTAGTCTCAGACTGCAGTCCCTTCTACCTAAGCCTCCTGTATAGCTGAGACTACAGACATGCACTAGCACGCGCAGTCAACAGACCCTGTTTTCAGGTTGGGGTCATGATGAACGGAATGTCCTAGTGAGCGTTCTCATGCAGGCTGCTCCCGTGAGCGGCGTCTGTGCTGCATGCCCGGGCTGTCCCTTCAGCCAGGCCGAGGTTCTTACTAGACTGCATGAAAACTCATCCCAGGAGATACATTGTCTTTTCTTTTGCCAACGACCAGCTGCATCATTTGTGCTATTCCCTTACGCGTAACTCACACAGGAAGCGTTTCCACACATCTATGATTATTCCCTTGGAAGAAATTGGTGGGCGTTGAGGATAGCGCTTTGAGTTCTCTAGATCACCATTCCCACACTTCCCTCCCCACGACTTCCGACCTGCATTTGTTTCAGAGATTGGTGCACTTTTTCTATAGCAAGGCAGCATTGTAAATTCTTTTCTTTTTGCCAACCATCTGGTCCCTGCGAGGTCTCAACCCTGAAATCAGCTGTGGGTAATATGAAGACAGGTGATGTTTCAATTAAACTTTATTTATAAAGATCAGGTGGCAAGCCAGATGGGGCTCAGGGATCGGAGTTTCCCAATCCCTGCTTTATTTGGCCAATGGCTTCTGGAGTGTTCATGCACCTGTCTGCACCTGTCACAGGAGGACGCTCCTGTGGGTGTGTGTGTGCACAGGGTGTGCACCGCTGTGGAAGGCAGGAGGACGCCCCCGTGGGGTGTGTGCACAGGCAGGCCGTGTGCACCTGTCACAGAGGGACGCCCCGTGGGGTGTGTGCACAGGCAGGCCGTGTGCACCTGTCACAGGACGATGCCCCCGTGGGGGGTGTGCACAGGCAGGCCGTGTGCACCTGTCACAGGACGATGCCCCCGTGGGGGGTGTGGACAGGCAGGCCGTGTGCACCTGTCACAGGAGGACGCCCCCGTGGGTGTGCACAGGCAGGCCGTGTGCACCTGTCACAGAGGGACGCGCCCCCGTGGGGGGTGTGCACAGGCAGGCCGTGTGCACCTGTCACAGGAGGACGCCCCCGTGGGGTGTGTGCACAGGCAGGCCGTGTGCACCTGTCACAGGAGGATGTCCCTGTGGTGTGTGCACAGGCAGGCCGTGTGCACCTGTCACAGGACGACGCCCCCGTGGGGTGTGTGCACAGGCAGGCCCTGTGAACCGCTGTGAAGGCAGTGGCTCAGCTCAGTGTACAAGTTCAGTGTATAAGAAAACATGCAAACCAGATCTCCAGCCCCAGGTAGTGTTTGATGATACAATGGTTTAATTCTAGAAAATCTGCAACTGCGAAGACAACCAGAGACGCTGTTGACAGCAAGCTAAAGAGGGGAAATGAGAACTATGGATATAGCTCGGATGAGCCCAAGGCTGCACGTGAGTAGGGAGGGTAGGGACGGTGGCGGACCTGCAGGGAAATGTGTCATGAGTCTCCCGGGTGACCAGAGACCAGCTTCTCCAGGCCCGTGGCTCAGCCATTGGTGGAGATTAAAGGTTGGGTAATTCTAGAATTAGGAACATTCTAGAGTAAATTTAGCAGTGGGGGGAAAAACCTGCCTGTTTATCTATAGCTTAAAGTATATCTGAAAGCTTAAGGAAATTCTTCATTCTCTGTTCATGTGTGTGCACGCGTGTTTACACCAGCACTGGGGTTTGAACTCAGGGCCTGAGCGCTGTCCCTGAACATTTTCTGCTGAAGGCTAGTGCTCTATCACTTGAGCCACAGCTCCATTCCAACTTTTTGTGATAAATTGGAGATAAGTCTCCACTGGGCATTTCCTGCCCAGGCTGGCTTTGAACTACAATCCTCAGATCTCAGTCTCCTGAGTAGCTAGGATTACAAGCGTGAGCCACCAGCACCTATTCATGATTTTCTTTGAATAACCTCGGCTTTACAATGTGTGGGGCGGTCTTTTAACCCGTCGGCAGAAACCTCCTTTGGACTTGAAGCAGATCAGGTAAAACTTCAACGTGGCAAGGAGGAAATATCTGCTCCAACTCAGCGGATCAGGACGTTGGGGAATGTCGGCATGCTAAGCTTACTTTTGGAAAGTCTTTCTGTAGGATCCCATTCTCACGTGGTCACGAGGGGGTGGGGACTCAGAAGCCATATCAGAGCAGCCAGACCGGCTGATGAGGGGGCTTAGGCTGATGAGAGGGTCAGGCTGAGTTGGCCAGGGATAAACAGTCTGAAAGGAAGTCCACCTACACAAAACGCCAGGAAGACAATGCCATGGAGAGATTGTCAGCCGACACACCCTTGCTGGTGTGTGTTGAGTGTTTTGTGTGTGTGTGTGTGCATGCGCGCTCAAAACTTCTTCCTTTCTTGCTAGGTATTGGTGGCTCACGCCTGTCATCCTAGCTATCAGGAGGTTGAGATCTGAGGATCATGGCTCAAAGCTAGCCTGGGCAGGGATGAGATTCTTGTCTCCCAAAAAGCTGGAAATAAAACTGTAGCTCAGCTGGTAGAGTGCTAGCCTTGAGCACAAAAGTTCAGGGACAGTGTCTAGGTCTTGAGTTCAAGCCCCAGGAGCAGGACCACAGAACTAAATTAAACCTCTCTTCTTTTCGTTCTTTTTCTGGCAGTGCTGGAGTTTGAACTCAAGGCCTTCATGCTGTCCAGGCAGCACCCCCCACAAAATGATTTTTGCCGAGATTGGGACTCTTTTTGGGAGGCTGTCCTTTGCTTTTTACCCCAGCTTCGCCTATGCATTCCAGAAGATGTTCTTTAGATAAAAAAAAACAGTTCCGCAAAGCATTTCTTTGATAATGCAAACACAACGTTTGGCAAAATTTATTGTGACTATTTGTTTGCCTGGGCAGTGAGGCAAGTACTTGACCCAGAGTGGCTAACCCCCAACCTCTTCCCCTTGTGCCTCTCTGCTCTGTGTTTATTTTTTCCCCAATTAGCTGTTGAAGCCACGGGTTCATTCTGTCTCTGGAAGAGACTAATGTATCAAGAAAGGAACTGGTTTTGAGCCAGTTTTCCCTATTTTTATTCTGCGTGCAACAAAGTAGTAAAATTATGTATTTTCACAGGAATAAAAAAACTCTATTTATAATTCTGCACGTCAGCTTTCCATCATGTGACCGAATTCCCGGGACGAGCAACTCACGGGAGGAAAGGGTTCTTGTGTATCACAGTCTCAGAGCTCTGGTCTGGGATCTGATGGCCCGTTCCTTGAGTTCCAATGAAGCTGCTCATGGAGGGAGGGGCCTGGTGGAGCAGAGCTGCTCACAACATGGTGGACAGGGAGGAGGGAGAGGGAGAGGGGAGGGAGGAGGGAGAGGGAGAGGGAGAGACACCCAAGGTTCCCTTCACATCCTTCCCCCAAGCTCCAGTCCTTTAAAGCTCCAGCTCCTACCAAGCCTTGGATACCAGGCCTTTGGGGGAACATTCCAGATCCACCCTGTAGCCATGGCGAGGATTGTGTTATTGGAGGAGAACTCATGCGAGCAGACATCTTTGTGCAGTTGTCAGAGCATGCGGCTCGTGTCTTCATCATTCGTACTCAGGACATTCTCTCCTTACAGAGCTTGCTTCACTCCCTCCGAAGTCTGCCGATCTCAGCGCCGTCCCGGAGCCGGGGGGCAGCCGCTCTCCTCCTCAGGTGAGGCAGACCACCCTCCCGCCTCCTCTCCTCTTTACGAATCCTTATCCCAATGGTGGAAGAAGGTCTCCCTTCCTCAGCTCTGGGTCGAGTGGGCAGCTTGGCCAGCACGTGGGGTGGCTCTTGTCCACCACATTGCTGTGGCTCCAAAGACGGTGGTGGATGTGAAGTAGCCGTCTGTGCACCCTGTGGGAGCATGAGCCTCGATGGGAGACATGCTCGTCACAGTCGGCCAGATCACAAGCAACGCAGGCCGGTGCTCCTTCGTTCCCCTCAGGCCCAGGTCTCCTAGGGACTTCAGACAGCTCTGCCCTCCTGTGCGCCCGGACCTCCTGAGGCCCAGCCATCCCCCGCTCTCAGATGCTGCGGCTCTCGGAGGGCTGCTCAGTGCTGAGTTCGAGGAGCGCGTGTGAGATCTGTGCTTGTGAGACTGGAAGATGGAGGGGTTGGCCTTTCCCGGGGGGAGTGAGGAGTCTGGGGATTCAGGAATGGAGTCAGGGCTCGAGGAGGTTGGAGTGCCCTTCACTGAGATGGATAGTGTTGAGGGCTGAGCGGATTTTTTTTTGGTGGGGGGGGAAGGACAGATACTCCATTTGGAGCTTGTTTTGAGGTCACTGCTAGGTGGCCTGTGGGTCACGTGGCCTCACCGGTCCTCTAGAGAGCTTCATGGTTGGGTCATGGATGAAGGTCATCGAGTCCGAGGCAGGTTGCTCTGTCCCTGTGGTCTGGGAGCTGTGGCTTTCTTCAGGGATCCTCTGTCTAAGCACATTGCAAAATGGAAGAGCATGCGTGGCTCACTGTGCGGACTCCAGGGGACGGATGCCTGACCCCCAGCTCTGCTCTTCTGGCTCAGAAGGATTGAGGGGGGGGATCTGAGCATCTCTGCTTTTTTTTTTTTTTGAACAAATTGGTAGGCTTGTGACCGTGGCTGAGTGTAAGGGTACTCTGGCCTCCTCCCGGACAGGTGGGAATGGAGAGAGGCTAGGAGGGAAGCAGGGTTCTTGTTGAGGTGTAGAACCACGTGACTCTTCTTTTTAAACCAGAACCTCGAGTCCAGGGGCTTCTCACATTGGTGTGTTTGGACCCCGAGCCTCACATGCCTGTTGAGCTTGCCATACATCACGGGAAACTCTGAGGTGTAACATTGGTGCCAAGGGCGAGGCAAGGCATGAAAACACTCCTCCATTTGTGGGCAGTGGCGTCCCTAAACTTCCTGTGCTTTAGAGGGGCCCTACACAGCGCTGCCTCTGTAGGGTGTTCAACGGAGGGATCTAGGCTGCAGATAGTGTGTCAACTTGTAGGGAGATTGATTTTCAAAATCTATATATACCAAACCCGGGCATCTTCTCACTGCCCGTTTCTATGATGATGGAGTCTGTGGGTGGGACCTGTAACACCAGCGTTTCCAAGGCGAGGATTCTGCCGGGAGAGCGCAGTCAGCTCAGTGGTTTCTCATTGGGATAACACGAATGTATCAGACTTCACACTTTTACTCAAACTTGCATCCAGTTAGAGAAAGGCAAGTTCTTTTCTGTGTCGCCACAAATCTGTGTATTTGCAATTTTGTGTGTGTCTGTGTGTGCATGTGTGCACATGTGTGTGCATGTGTGTGCCAGTCCAAGGCTAGCATTCTACCACTTGAGTCACACCTCCACCTCCGGCTTTTTAAATTTTGGTATTTCATTGGAAATACAAGTCACACAGATTTTCCTGCTTGGGCTGGCTTCGAACTGTGATCCTCAACTCTCAGGCTCCTGAGTAGCTAGGATTACAGGCATGAGTTACCAGTGCCCCAAAGTGTTTGCAAATGTTTTGCACCTGAACGAAGATGGAAAACAATGGTCACCATTTCCTCCTCCTCTTTCTAGAAGAAGAGATAGGGACTCCCGGCCAGTGAATCTTGCTGGTTGTGTTGGGTGGTTGTGTCTGCCCTTCTGTCAGGCTGAGAGGGTTAGCCTGTCACCCATTCTAACCTCATTGGGGCCTTTCCCACGAACCCCTCTCATTTATTTAGATCAGCAGAAAGAAACATGCAATAAATTTAGTAAAACGCCGGGACACTTGTGCAACCCACAGTGGGAAATGAGGCAAACCACACTTGTCTCCGGCACCTTCAGCGATAAAGGTGCCATTTTGAGAGGCCCTGGGTTTCCTCCTGTTCTTGGGAGTCAATCGATTTGGGCCACATTCTGTCCTCAACCTGCGCGAATGTTCCTTGCAGCCTGAATAATTCATCCCGCGCAGCTGCATTATTTATGACGTTAAATGCAGCGACTGCGCCTGGAATTGGAGCCAGCCTGGTTGAGGCTGGCGGAGGAAACGGGTCGCACACAGTTTAATGGGGGGGGGGGGGTCTCCTAGCAGACAGGTCTCCATTCTGCCCGGGGATTTCCTGGTTTTCTGGAAAAGTCAGCGTGGAGGCACGCTAGCCCAGGAGGTAGGCAGGGGCTCGGGTTCGCTCAGTGCTTCTGTTCACAGGCCCCATCCGCCTTGCACAAGAACCACGTGCGGCTTAAAGAAGTCCAGAAATGTTTGATGTGTTCATAAAGAAGGCAAGCACTCCCATAGGGAAACCGAAGAACAAAACAGGGAATCTTTGTGCCTGCCCTGTGGCTTCATAAGAAGCCTAGTGTGTTCTTGTATTGGATTGCTCTTTGAGCCCTGAGTTTGGAGAGTGCCCGGAGTGTGCGTGATTGGAAATATTGAAGTAGCTGTGTTTTTAACATTTTTGTTCCTTCTCTGCCTTCATTTTATCTTAGGAGATGACGGAGCTTGCTTCCTCCAGTGAGTATCGTGCTGTGAGCTCAGCCAATTAAATCCATCCTTTATCTTTTGTTGCCAGGATCTCAGTAAGCCTCGGCCGGGCCGGGCGGGTCGTCCACAGGTTTCCTTTGACATCACCAGTCCTCGGAAGGTCAGGAATGTCACTTTAGTATAAGAATGAGTTCCTGTGCGGTCCGCTTGTGCTTGGGTGAAGATTTACGCCGCCCTGACATCTTTGTTCTTGCCATCCTGAGACAAGACTTCAGCTCTGTCAACATTCCCTGAAGAAGTCGGTTGGCGCGATGGGAGCTAATGCTATTCAGTGACAGGAGGAATCAGTTCCCCAAGTTCCAAGTAGAATGTGGCTTTTAAGACTGTCATGGTTTTAGTAAGCCCCTTAAAGTTACCGAGTAAAAACCTGCACCTTTATCCTGGTGATATTTCTCGTCACCTAACACTCCTGCTTGCTAATCCAGTAAGTGGTAGCTATGTCTGTATTCTACCATGACTTAAAAAAATGTTTTCATTGCTCTCAATCTTATTAAGATGAGATTTATATCTGCATATTATTAGTGAAGCAAGAAGAAAAAAATTAGGCTCAATCAGAACTCTCAGATCGACTGGCAAATCAGAGCTCCTTAGGTTGACAGTAAGATGAAATGTAATGCTGCTACATGCATTCCTGTCTCACGATTGGATATTGAGGAGAAAACAACACTTTGGTGGCTTCCTTGTCAGGCTTATTTTTATCTGAAATGACTTAGCTGTGGGGACAAAGCTCACACACTACAAACAGAAGAACTGGAAATGGGTAATGCGTTCTTTAATAAATGCAAAAGGAAACACCCAAAATGTGTATTGCTTTTCTTGACTTCGCTCTTGGTGGTAGTTTCTTACTACTTTGGTGGTCATTTAACTAGTGTTTTGAAACAAAGCATTTTCTAAGATGGGACCAGAAGAGATGTGTGTAAAAATGTCTTGTCTTTATGTTCATCTTTTTCCTGGTCTGTTTGTTCTATGTGAAGTCAACAAAATAAAAATTTCTGCCTTTGAAAAAATTATAATCTTATTGTTATTATCAAGGTGTTTTACATAAAGGTTGTTATTTTATAAGTCAGGAGCTGAGTTCAAGTCTCCTTCCTTCGCTTTCCCACTCCTGTCCCTCCTCGCAGGTTGCATAGTTCATTCCCCACATAGTGTGTGGTGAATAGCAAGAGTGCATTTGTTCACTTTTCCTCCCTCCTTTTCCGTGTCTTCCTTCCCCCACCCTTAAAAAACCCAAAAGCAAAGACAAACACCACCACCACCACCACCATCACCACCACCACTAATAACAGCAACAACAATAACAAAACTCAGGCTTCCAACTCTTGAAATTTATTATCATATAACAGTGGGATCACTCCTATCTTTCTTCAGGGTCATTTGCATAGAATATCTTTTCCCATCCCATCATTCAGAATTGGTGTTTATCGTTGACCATGTGGTTGGATCTTGTTTTGTGATCTGATCTGCTGTTGCATGTCTCTTGGTTAGGGAATTGAGCGTTACTGTGGAGAAATATGTCATGTTTCCTGCTATTTTGTTGTTTTCCTCTTTCTTCATCTATGTATGTTTACTAGTCTTATTGTGATTTTTATTCAATGCTGTGTTTCCTTGACTTTGATTCTTTTCTTCAGATTGCATGCTTCCCTTTAGTATATCCTGTGTAGTGCTGGTTTAGTGCTCAGGAATTCTTTATTTTCTCTTCATTGTGAAAGGTTTTAGTCTCTCCATCAGTTGTGAATGATAGCTTTGCTTGGTACACTCATTCAGGTCGTCAGTTGTCATCTGAGCTTGAGTTATACCACTCCGGTCTCTCCTTGCATTCAGAGTTTGTGTGGAGAAATAGGCTGCTATTTGAATCTATTTTCCCATTGTAATAGTGTTCCCTCTTTGACTATGCTTCCGTTAAAATTAATTTCTCATTTTTTTAAGTCAGAGTTTTCACGAAGAAGGATTTCTAGTTCTACATGCCTCTGTCAGCTGGGTGAGATTCTCTTCTTGAGGGTGGGGAAGTTTTCTGTTTTGAGTTCTTCCATCTATCCCAGTTATGGGTAGATCTGATCTTTTGGCCAAATCTGCCAATTCTTGAATGGCCCTCTGGGATGTTCAGAGTGTTTTTCCCCACGCCTTTGACTATTTGTTCTAACTTTGCTGCTTTATTGTCAACTCCTGATAACTCTGTTTTTGAGCTCATTTGTTTTATTGCCTGTGCTCTCACCTATACTTTGTAGGAGAGAGATAAAGGCTTTCACACTCTTAGCTCTTCATTGATGTCGATTCTCATGTCTTCATTGAAGTTTTCCTTGTGTCTCTCCTTGTTAATTCATTTCCATTTCCTTCATCAAGGTGTGTAAAGTTTGTGTCTTCCTGTTGGTGTGGTCTTGGATGTCCTGCATTTGCTTCATCATTTCTTCTCTGTATTCTTTTAGTTGTTTGTGGACCCGCCCTTTTATTTTGTCAGCCATTTCTCTCGCCATTTCTTTAATGATTGTTTTGTTCATCCTTGCTTCTTCATTCCCTTAGTCTTCTCCTGAGGTGTTGTTGGTTTTTGAGAGCGGCACATTGTCTTGATTACTTATGGATTTTGTGATCTTTCACTGTGATGGATGCATGAGGGTTCAGGGTTTGTAGAGGCCTTTAAGATTTGAAATCAGGTCCAGTTGTAACGGGCTGTGGCTTACTGGGTTTCTTGCAAGCGCCATGAAGGGAGGTATGGGCAGGTTTGGGGGCACAGCTGGGCAGTGACTCCCAGGAGGCTGGTGGGTGGAGCAGTACCAGCAGTTTATTGGGGTTCATTCCATTGGGCGCCCTTCCTGGCAGTATTGCAGGAGTGGGCGGGGAGGTGCAGGCAAGCTGCTGGGGTTCACTTAAACACTGTCTGGGGCAGCTGCCAACAGAGAGGAGAGCAGGGGTTTGGGGCCGATGTTGGAAGGCCTACCTAATCCTGAAGCAACCTTGGAGTGTGGCTTTGTCCCTGGTGTAGCTGTGGTAGTGTATGGAGGTGGGTGGGGGTTGGTCTAGCATTGGAGGGCCCTTTGTCTGCTCCCTGGAGTTTGAAGTCCTGCTGAGTTTTGTAGCAACCTCATGAAGTTGTTTTGTCTCTGAAAATGGCATTTCCAGTGTGCACTGCTGTGGCTGAGTTTTCCAATTCCAAGACTCAGCTTCTGGTTCAAAGGTATGTGGTTGACTGTCTGCTGGTGAGGCTGAGTCTCTGGTAGGGAGTGAGGGAAGAAAGGAGAAGGGAAGAAGACAACAAAAAGTTCTCCAATGGGAGCGTATGGCTGCAGCACAGTTGCGCTGGATGCCTGCTTCAGTTCCTGTGTTTTCTCCTCTCTTGTCGGCCTGGAAGTTAGAATCTTCTGGGTGGGTGCCAAGCTCTGATTGTTTCTAGTTTGTCTGGCATGCTCTCTGGAGGTGGAGTTCTGTGTGAGAGGCCCCACCCCTCTGTTGGATCAGAGGGAGCTCCGGTTAATCCCTGTCACTATTCCTCTATCTTGGTTCCCCTAATTTCTAACTTTTTTTTGAAATAATCTTTCTCACTTAGACATATTCAGCGGATTTCACTATCCACCCTGTCCCTTCATATTTAACCTGGAGGCAGGACTGTTATTCTTGAGCTCTGAACTGTTTCCTATGCTGGCTAGTAATTAACTCTCAGCCCCAAGCCAACCACACTATTGTTAAAGTGAGTTTAACTTTTTAAATGTGGTAGGACTTTAGTGAAGTTGCTCAGTATAAGATGCAAATACATCATGATGATGCACAGTCCTGCTTCCTACCTGACAAGTGGTGGACAAGTCTTAACTATCATGATTTGTAAAGAGATTAGGACCCGAAGTTGCCCACAGCCCCTAGTTTAGGCCTCCTCTTAAAAGCCAACAACTTCCTGAAAGGTTATTTCTTGGCACACTGTGGGCCCATGGAAGGTTCCTAATTGGATTGGCTGGTATCCGTACAGAATCCATTCTGATTGGCTGGTATCCATATAGAACCTATCAGTGCCTATTCAAGTATCTGTTCTGATTGGGTGGGGTTCTTGCCTTTCCCTTTCAGATATTTTGAGCATCTCTTCCTGTACTATCTCTGGTTAGAGAGAACTGGCTGGATGTTTTCTTGAAAGTAGAACTAAAATGCAAGATTGCAAAAACTGAGGAGTATTGCTCTGCCACTCTCCTAAGAATCTTTTCTCTGGGAAAATTGCCAATGCAGATGCTTAAAAATGACACTTTTGCTTACTATGCTAATTTCTTTAGTCTTTGCGGGTGTAGTTCTGTCTCCTACCACTGCCCTCCAGTTGGTATAAGAAGAAGAGAAACACAGACAGAAAGGCTCATGAGGGTTTTTCCTCAGTGAATGAGTGAATTCCTATTCTTTACTGGATAGTTTGCCCTGTCTCTGTGTGTCCTTCCTGCCTTCTGGGACTTCTATAGTGCCTTGTGTACTGTAGGCATTCTGTTGGGAAAGGCAATGTACTGAATATAATGAATATTTTCCATCCATCTGCAGAAAGAATTGTCTAACTGTGGTTATGAGTATTGACTACAATTGAATTTCTTAACTTTTGGACTCAGGAGGACAGGGTCAAAAGAATTTTGCCAGAATTTATCCAGTTTCTTGTTTTTTATTTTCACTGGTCAGACTGTAGAAGTGTCTCAGTATCACTGCTATGGCTGGAATGTGGTTCGTCCCCCGAAATTATGCAGGCATTGAATCCCCAAAGTTATGTGTTAATGATACTAACAGAGTGCAAACCTAGTTCTACGACAGTGCTTAGAGGTAAGGACTTCGATGAGATTAGGTGAGGCCGTTAGCCTGCGTTCACATGGCTGAATCTTGGTAGGGAGAGACACACATAGACACAGAAACATGCACATGCCTCCACCGTGATGTAATGTGGCCAGCGAGATCCTTGTAAGCCTTCTCCACAATGGCTGCACTTCCCACCTTTCCTACGGCGAGCTCACTGTGTGCACATTTCAAGTGTTCCCAGCCTCACAGGGCCGGTGGCTTCTGTTGTAGACAGTACCGATCATAGGTTTCTATGGTTGCAGAAAGTTCTAGAGAGAGCTATTTGGGAATGACCTTGACATGTCAGGGACTGGCTCTTTTACACAAGTGCGTGATTGGTGTTTTCTTCTGTGCTATGTCCACCGCGGACCAGTTTCTATTTAGAAACCCTGCAAATCCCAAGGCCGCTCTCAGCTGCCGGTGGTGGTGTGCTGATGTGGTAAAATCACCTCTTGCTTTGTGATGCAGTGAGCAGACTGGCTCAGGGGGGCTGGGGCAGGATGGATCGGTCACAGCACGCGGTTGCCATCACGGTTGTCTCTCAGAAGGATGGGTGAGGTCTCTGCTAATGAATGGCTGATGAGGGTGCAGATGAGTTTAAACACGTCGCTTTTAAAGCCTGGCATGGTAACCTCCTGGCTCTTTGCTCCCAAGGCATGGATTTTGGTTAGATTCCATACCTGCCCCACAAAAGTAAGGATTTTGTTTTTTTTTTTTTTTTTTTTACAGTAGGACCCCAGGTGGTAAGGACCGGGAGGATAGTTGGGAAGCTTGGACAGTTCTTGGTGATCCTGTCCTTGGAGAGCTGCTAGTGACATAAAGGTCTGGAGGCTCCTTCCTAGGAGTCAGAGGAGATCAGGGGAATGGATGCTGTGGTGCCAACCCAAGATTCCATGTCAGTATCTGAACCCAGACAGCCAAATGCTTACAATAGTTGCTACTCCATCCTGAGTGAAGATGCAGGACCCTTTGCTCACCTACATGAGACACTGGAGAGCTGCTCCCAGACGGGGGAAAGG